GTACAGTAGAACCTGAATATCTAGAGACTATCTTAATATCAAACTATTCCATTCTTAATACATTGTTGAGGGTGGGGTGGGGGGACATACGCGCTACATGGATAAAAAAAAACTCCCTATTTTTTCTTGGTTTTTAGAATCCTAGCTGTTTAGTTTCTGCTTAACTAGTTTGGAGAGATATTACCTGCGCACAGAAATATTTGGATTTCTTTTTCAGCATTAACTATAGAAACACTTGACTCTCCTTTCGTTATGTGGAGTGTTGGTTTAATGAGTCCCAGTCCACTAAGTACACTTGATTTTGGTGCTTTAACCTAGGTGTTTCTGATAGATTGGTCACTCACAGTGGTTCGATCTTACGCAGGGAAGTGGGATCTGCTTAACCAAGAGAACAGAGGGTTCATTTGGGTTGATATGGCCAAAAGGAGTAATGTATGGAGGGTAGACAATAGATAGGTTCCAGAAGAACCCAGATATGGGAATGAGGAACACATTTGTGGATAGTTTATGGATGATGGAACAAGTCAGAATTCCGAGGTGCCAGCCTTTCGTTTTTCAAGACAATTAGAAGCCGTTTCAGGCATTGACCTGAGTCAGCTGCGTAATTTTTGTTTCAGAATTATGAGGGACATTTATGAGGGGCCTATCGAGGAGGTGTTGACAAATGGCACCTTGTGGTATAAAAAGGAAAGGAACAACGATACCCAGAAATGTTGGATTGTCACGAGGGTAAGGGGGAAAAAAGCAGAATATGAATCTATTCCCGAGAAGAGCAGGCTAGAAATAGAACAAAAGAGGACAAAAACTCAATGGGAGGGAGGGAAGAAGAGCCTCCTGGCTGTGCAAGTTAACCCCTAGCATTTGCCACTGGAGTGTGCATGATGTCTCTAGAAGTGGGGAGGGGAGATGGCAAAAGGCTTTAGTGAAACCTGAAGAAGCTTGGGGTTTGAGAAAACTTGCTTGAGAAGATACCTATCTTCTACCAGGTGACTGGTGACTGGTGATGGAAAGTGAAGTTGTCCACCAGGGAGAATTCTAGGCATGGGGGGATGGATGGCAAGGGCCTCAAGCAAAACCACCCTTGAGTCCTGATGACCAGTGAAGTCTGAAAGGCTATATGATGAAAACAGAGGGGAGGGTTGCTTTTCCAGTTGCTGAGGAGGTGAATTGTTATTTATCCAGCTGCTGTACTTTCCTCAAATCCTACCTCAGATTCGTGTTCCAGGTGACTAACTGGAAGAATCCATCTCGCCCTTCACGCTGTGCGGCCTGCTTCCTGAAGAGATGCCCACAGAGGACTGGAAGCCTGGCCTTGCGGGAGAGTTTGGAGTTATTGCAAACATGCTGTGATTCTGCACATCCACAACAACTCTTTGAAACACCAAATCACAGGATTAATATAGATGGATGATGTATTGGTAAAAAGGTCTTTGTAACCCTGTCTCTTTCTCATCCTATTTGCCTGTTCAACCAATTTCCTTTGCTTTACTCTCACGTTTTCCTTCAGAAGTTCATTTGCTTTATTGCTTTTGAGGTACCTGTTTGACATGATATGCTTCTCTTGATTTTGCTCTTGCCCTATTCCTCCATTTGTTTTTGTCTAAAGCAAAGAAGCATTTTTTTCTGTTTTAGGACCCCTTTTCCCAACTGACTAATAGAATTGAAGAAGTTTCTAATCTCTGATTTTCTTGGTTGATGGTTAGGAGTAATCAAGTAAAAAAATTGTAGCATTTGTAAGTCTGATTTTTCTACTATGCGCCGTGCTGTGTGGTTTAATTCTATCATTTCAGCAAGCTTGCTGGATGTTTTCAGTGGCAATTCTGAAATGGAATGGCTATGACATATAGGTATATATAACCCCATGGAGCTCATTTGGAAGCCAGCTCCAAAATGCTCATCCAGAAATATTGCCTAGCCTATTCATGTATGTGTAGTAGTCCCAATATTTATGGAAGGCATCAGGCTCAACAGCTGAGCTAAAATATTTGCGGCACTTTAGCTGAAAAGGTCTTTTTCAAAATAAAAAAGGTCTTCTGCAGTCATGTCATAAGCCTAAGACTGAAAATCAGGTTTGTCAGATGTTACATCTTTTCTATCCTGCTCTACAGAGTAGAGAATTGGCCTCTGACAAAAAACCACTTGAAGAAACCAGAAGCATTTGAAATGTGGATTTACAGATGGCTGTTATGTATAGGCTGGGTTGACAAAATCACAGTTGAGAAGGTGATAAGCCACCTGGGAAAGCAAAAGGGAAATCATCAAAGCTGTTGAAAAGCAAAAGTTAGACTATTTTGGATATGTGATGCGACACCCAGAAAAATATGGCATACTTCTCTTAATCTTGCAAGGAAAAATTGAAGGCAAATGAGGCCCAGGCAGAAGAAGAACATCATGGCTTCAAAACCTAAGGGGCTGGTTTGGACAAAACTCAGCAGCACTTTTTCATGTGGCTGTTGATAAAATAGGATTGCCAACATGATCACCAATATCCGAGGATGGCTATGGCACAAGAAGTTGAAAAGGAAAACGGGGGTATGGAAAGAGATTTGTAAGATTAGACAGGATGGGAAATAAGTGCCCTTAGATGTTTGGCCTCCCCCAAACAAAACATTTTGTAGTATTCAGCTAATGTGGCCATTACCAGGGAAACCAATGGATTGTATATTTTTAAGACTGGCAAAATCAAGACCAGCTGCCATTCAGTGGGATGGACTCTAGCACTTGGTGGCTTTAAAATGATTTCATTTACCATATATTTTAGACTATAGATGCACCAAGATTTTGAAGAGGTAAGTAAGAAAAAAAGTTTTTGTCCTCCCTGGCCCCCAGGAGCACTCTGCAGGCTTCAGGCCTGGTTTTCACAAAAATGGGATGGGGAGGCGGGGTTTCAGGAGACCAAAAATGGCTGTATTTGTTGTATAAGGCACACCAACATTTCCACGCTCTTTTGGGACGGGAGGTGTGTTTTATACTCCAAAAATATGGTATTTTGCTGAATCCCA